GAGAGAGAGAGAGAGAGAGAGAGAGAGAGAGAGAGAGAGAGAGAGAGAGAGAGGTGAGGGAGACAGGCCCTCGCTGCTGTCGATGCATTGCCCTTTCCTAATGGCCATCGGCAGATCTCCAGACGCCAACCACCTCGTTATAAACCGCGAAACGAGCCCGTTGCCCTGTTTTCACGTCTAGTGGGCCCTACTGCCCCTTCAAGGCAAAAAGAGCAAATTAATAAATTTTAAAAAATAATTAAGGATTCTGAGGGTTTTCTTCGAACGCCACTTAGCGACTGAGGTCTTGGGACAACAACAAAACAGTGTCCTCCACAGCTTGGACCTTTGCAAGCGTGGAGAGAACGCGGCGGTGGCCGCGCGCTGCTCTCCCCGACGCCAAAGGTGAAATATATGAATCCTGTGGACCGAACACAGCACAGGCTCGGCTGCCCCCCCCCCCCCCCTCTCTCCCTCTCTCTCTCCCTCTCTCTCTCAGCCCTCTCCGCTACTATTAAAAAAAGGGGCCGGAATGTGTGTGGCCTCCACCCCCTGCCAAAGCCCTCCCACCAAAAAATGATTGGATAAGCAAAATACCCCTCAAGTAACCGTACAAATCAATATAGTGCTCGCCCATGCCCGCCCCTGCCCCACGGGCGGTGGCGGAGGGGAAAAGGGGGCGGGGAAGCAAGGGAGGGCAGGGGCGGCTAGAGGAAAGGGAGGGGACCCGTACAGGTAATATGGCTGTATGATGTTGTTATGGCTGTATCGATTCGGGCAAAGCTTTGTTATTTCATCCCGACAGGTTTTTAACTTTTTATTTTGGGCGCCCTCGTCCTCCGTGTGTACCGCGCGCCGCTCTCGCCCCCTCTCTCCCTGCTCCAGCCTTCCCATCACCGTCTCTCTCTCTCTCTCTCTCTCCCTCTCGGTCTCTCTCTCCCTCTCGGTCTCTCTCGTGCTATCTGTCGCCCCCGCTCCCTCGTTCGCCCTATCCGCCCCCACCGCTCTCTGATTTTGGCATCCGTCTTTGTTTCGCTGAACAAACTCTCATATACATATAAACGCACGTACACACACGCGCGCACACACTGACGTCCTCTTTCGAGCGCCCGGCCCGGCTCACTCACACACGCACAGCATGTATGCATATATTTAAAATTCCCTCTCGACATCAAAGTAACGTCCCCGCGCGGACAAGGCTTCCCGGTCTATCACATCTAACGTGTTTAGTGGAAGCTGCGGGGGGTTCGGGAGGTCTGAGACCTTCCACACAATGCTCACCTTGAGGAACGCGAGAAAAGACGGGAATTCCCCTGAATTACACAACAAAAATTACAATTATTTTAGGGACAAGTTACAAAAAATCGAGCCCCCTTTACACCCTGTAATTGCCTGACTGCTGATAGCAAAGCGGCTCCGTACATGTGAATAGCGGTGTGCACAGGTGTGCCAACCCGAACGACCTGCCGGCGCACCCCTGCCGGCCCCTACCGGCCTGCTCTATAACTCATAATCAGGAGTTGGTATCCCTGGAGCCCCGTCCGTGGCCCATAGTCCACCGTGGTCCAGACCTACTACTCATCAAGTTTACAATAATTGCCAACCAAGCACAACTTCCTACCTCCCCCCCCCCTTTCTCCGGGCTGAGACCTGACCCTCTGCCGCCCCCTGGGGACGCTATGAGACAGGTTGACCACCCCCCTTCGCTCCCAATAGGCCAAGCGAACGACTAAGACAGTTTTGCCAACCTTGTCAGAAAATTAATCATAAAAACATGTCTGGATCGACGTTTTTGACGGTTCTGTCAAACACGTAAAATTGGCGCTATTTGTGACATCTACCCTAGCGCGGCAATGACCAGCACCGCCGCCAGCACAGGGATCGCACGATTTGAAATTTATGAAATTAAAACCTTTTGTGAAGCTGGTGTCGAAAACCAGGTTTGAAATATAAGGACACCTCGCATCTCAAAGTTTTAAGCCTGAGAAATGATATGCGACATTCACTCTTTCAAAGATATGGATGGATATGCGTGAGAACATAATTGTCAAAACAGATGCGAGGTGTCTTTTTTTTTTTTTTTTGCATTCAACTATCAGCAGCTTGCAATCCAGTTTGAAATTTAATACCAAGGCAGCAATTATAGAAACGACTCATTGAAAACAGATCAAAGTATTGTATTCTCCTGTGACACGGTTTGTTAGCACCTTTACAAAACAAGTATAACATAGCACAATCCTTCTGGCAGACCGCTGTCCGTGCCATTCCACAAAGAACTGAATCAATCATTTTGCACGAACTCTTCGCAGTACTTTCAACACACACGTCAACAAAAACACTTAGCATGACACGAAACAAAACGAGAAAAAAGACATCAGCTTGTAACGATATTGAAAACGCATCACGGAGAATCCATGCAAAAAACACAACAACAACAACTGAAAAGAAACACAACCAACGAGCACACCACGGCACAGCACAGCACATCATTTCCCGAACGCACTTTTCACTTGCGGCGAAACACTTCACAACACACACATCACATCACTCGCGGGGCGGCGCGCGGTAGCGTCCAGCTCACGCCCGTGTGAGGCGGCGGCGCGCACTTCAAAAGTACCTCTGCAGGTCGGCGAAGAGGAGGCGCTGCTTCCGGTCGGCCAGCCTGTCCAGCCGGTCGTGCTGCATGGGCAGCGCGTGGTGGTGCAGGTCCAGCTTCCGCTTGCAGGCGGCGCGCTGCGGGATCTGCGCGGCCGCGTGCCGCAGCGACGACATCCGCTGGTACTCGGGCTCCTGCAGCCACTTCCACATGCGGCGGAACGTCTCCCGGCCCGACTTGAGCTTGGACCAGGGCTTGGGGTTGCGCAGCAGGTCGCTCAGCGTGCCCTGGGACCGGCACAGGATGCGCTGCGCGAAGATGGCCTGCGGAATGGAGTAGCGCTTGAGCTCGGCCGAGATGCGCTGCGCCAGCTCTTTGGTGTTGATCTCCTCGGCCTCCTGCTGTTGCTGCTGCTGCTGCTGTTGCGGCGGCACCACCTGGTGGCTGGGCTGGTGGCACTGCAGCGGAGGTTGTTGTTGTTGTTGCTGCTGCTGCTGCTCGGACTTGACCGCCACGGGCAGCGGCGGCGGGGGCGACTGCTGCTGCTGCTGCTGGGGAGGTGGCGGCGGCTGCGCCGGCGGCGTGTGCTGCGAGGGCGGGTGCTGCTGGTGCAGGCTGGGCGACGGCGGCGTGCCCGCCTCCCGCAGGTAGTGGTGCGGGTGCAGCTCCGTCTTGACGGTCACGGGGTAGTAGTCCTGCTGCACGGGGCAGTACGCGTCCCGGTAGTCGTAGCACTGGCTGTGCTGCTGCTCGCAGCCCATGTCGTAGTAGCCGCCCCCGGCGTGCGGGGGCGGCGGCGGCGGGGGCGGCGCCGGGTGCGGCGGCCCCCGGTACGGGTAGGGCGCGTGCAGGGGCGCGCCGTTGGCCTGCATCACGGTGAAGGAGCCCGACACGTTGCCGTTGGGGCCGCCGCCATAGCCGTCCGTCGAGACGAAGCCGAACTCCTCCGGGATGGCGTTGAGCGGCGGCAGCGGCTGCAGCGGCGTCAGCGTCGCGTACGAGTGCGGCCCGGCAGGGAAGGCGGGCGTGGGCGCGGGCGGCGGCGCGGGCGACGGCGACCCGAAGGGGTACTCGCCCGTGTCCACCATCATCACTGCCCCGCCGCTGTGGAGAGAGAAGCGCACGGTTAGACAGGTCGGACTACTCCATGGGGCGGCGCACGCGGACACACACACATGCAGCGGTGACGAGTTACGGGAGGGTGCAAAACCACACAATATTGCCAAGAGAGTATGAGGAACTGGAGAGTCAACGTCATTGAGGAGTGCTGGTCTGGTGCGCTAGGTAGGGGGAGCGTGTGTATTTGATACGAAACCTTTTGAAAGACAAAAGCGGTAAGGAAGAATTGCTTTGAAGTTGACATCGCTCCGAGGCGACCGAAGACAGCCGATCCGCCTTCCTCCTTCTCTGCCAACTGCACGACGTGAGTACTAAACTGCTTCCGCGCCCAAATCAAGATGGTCAAAACTGAGACAAAAGTGTCAGCGGTCTTCCGCCAATACAAGAGGATTCACATGTTTTAGAAATGAACCAAGATGGGACGATTCATTTAACTGCCAAAGAAGAGAGTCGTTCTTTACTGCGTGTGTCTCGACCGTTACTGACCGCTAGCAGACACTTGACACTTCAATGATGTCCTTCAGGCCACCTTTGTAATTGCTTCGATCAGCGCACCCTTTTTTCCTTTGCAATTTTTTGTAAAAAAATAAACAAGCACACAGCACAATTTCGCCGTTTACGAAATTAATGCCGCTCGCCCTGAGCCCCACTGTTGATTCAGGTCCGGGTGGGGCCGGACTCGCCCGCCCCGCCCGTCCCGCGCTGCCTTGGCCGGGCCGATGTTCCCATATTTCCAATCACACAGTGTTGACACAATATGTTATTTGGTGCTCGAAATATGCGTCGGTCGTCGCGCCAGGCCGCGCCGCGCCGCACGGCACGGAGAGAGAAAGAGAGAAACGCGAGCTACACTCACATCACAAACAAGGTTTACCGCGAGGAGGACGTCGATGTCGTGCGACATGGAAGTTGGTGCTCCGCAGGGGCCGGACGCCAGAAGCTACTACAAACCTCTGCGGGACCATGGCAACTCGAGGAAGCACCACCACCACGACCAGCAGCAGCACCAGCAGCGACTGCGGCAAGGAAAGCAACCAGCGCGCCAGCGGGGGCGGCTCGTCGGGGAGGAGGTGCGCGCCGTGGAGGACGCCACCGAGGACGCCGGCACCGCCGGCCGGTGTCCACGCCATCCTCGCTACAAAGACACAAAACACGACGCCTCAAAGGCTTGGCCGGGCTGCGACTCAGGTCACTCGCGTACTCCACGGCGTCGGCGTCCTCGAAGCCGCCGGGGGTTACTGCTGCGGCGGCGAGGGACGTCGTCGGCTCCGCGTCCTCGTCCTGGCCGCCGGCTGGCAGAAGGGCTCGCCGTCGAGGCTGGCATCATCAGGGTAACACGCCTGCCGCCACATGTCACATCCTCACCTGAAGGCGCCGCGGCTGGCACCTGCTCGCTCTCACCGGGACCGTGGGGCCGCGGCCGGGGCCGGCAGGGCTCGCATGGCAGGACCCAGCACCGCCGGCACCGCCACTCACTCGCTCGCTCTGTCACTTCGCGCTCACGCTGCGCTCCCGCCACGCTGCGCTCACGCCACGCTGTCGCTCGGGGGGACTCGGGGGCTCCAGCCTAGCACCACCTGCCGGCTCGGCAGTCGCAGGGACAGTGACGCTACGCGGAGCGCGCGGAGCACAGCTGAGAGGCTCAGGGCTGCTCGGCCACGGCGCGCGGCGCAGCGCTGCGCACCCGGCGAGCCGAGGCAGACCACCCCAACCCTCACCGGCGCTGGCGCGGGCGCTGGTGGGGGATGGGGCCGCAGGCCCGCAGGCCCGCCCGGCTGCAGCGGGGGTGGCGGCGGATCGGGGCGGGGCAGGGCGGCTCCAGGCCCTTCGAGCCGAGCGCCGGAGCGTCGGGCGGAGCCGAACCGGGGTGCCCGCCGATCCCCCCCGATCGCCCCCATCCCCTTCCGATCGCTTCCCCACCACCCACGTGGTCGGGGACGTCACGGGTCTCGCGGGCAAGCCCCCGCGCCGCCCCGCGCACCCCCGCGCCCTCCCGCGCACCCCCGCGCCCCTCGAGCGCCGCTCGCTCCGGGGCGCCCCGCTCCGGGCCCCGCCCGCCCGCTAAGCACTTCCGAAGCAGTCGTGACTTGAATGCTCTCTTCCGGGCAGCGGCCGGGGCCGGGGCTCCGACGGGCCGCGGCCGATCACTGTTGCTGCTGCGGGCTTCCAGGGCCTCTGCCAGCGCCTCTGCCAGCGCCTCTCTGCCAGGGCCCGCCAGAGGTATTGACCGGGAGAGGCCCGGCGGTATCGGCGAGTGGCTCAAACCGATCGCTTGCTCCTGGCCCGTCCCGTCCCCGCCCGCGCACCCTGCTCGCCCTGCGCGCGAGGCTCTTCACACCGGCTCCCCAGGGCTCCCCCTGCCCTTCTGGCCGCCGAGAGTCAGAGAGTCGTCCCCAAGTGCCTCCACCCCGGATGAGTTAAGCCCTGCACGCGCCCACAAACGAACGCGTAATGGCACAACGCTGTTGTTGACGCCCCCCGACAGCTTTGCACCGGTCTGGTGACTTCCCGCGAGCGAGGAAAAGACTTCCCCGACCAGGAGGGCGCCAGCAAGGGGGCGTGGGGGCAGGGCTCCTGCAGCAGCAGCAGCAGCAGCCTCTTTCGGAGCGTCTATAATCTTCCTGATTCTATTAAAATCGGTCCGGCCCGGGGAGCGCATAGCGCCGCTCCGTGCATCGGCCCGGCCCGGCCCCACCCCCTTCGACTCCAATCATCCCCGCCCCCACCCGCAACCTCCTCTCCCCTCTGCCGCCTCTTCCCTTCATCTTTTTCTTGCGCCCTCCCTCCCTCTACCGCCTGTGCTCTCTCTCTCTCTCTCTCTCTCCCTGCTCCCTGCCGCTTAGCCCCCACCCCACCCCCGGCCCGGTCCTTTTTTCCCTCGTATCTCTTTCCCCCTCTCGTTCGTTCGGTTCCTCTTCCGCCCCGCTCCGCACATGCTCCCGCGGCTTAATCCCCCTGTGCATCAAAACAACATTTTGCCCGCGCCGCCGCCGCCGCTGCCGCCTCCGCCACTTGAAATTTATTCAAGACAGGCTAATAAAACGGGGGGGACCAACATTTATTTGAAAAAAAACAGCCAGCGCGCGACCGCGCGGCGGCGTCCTTCATCCTTTTTTCCCCCTTTTGCTAACCGCGCGCTCTTTTTGTTTTTCCCCGCCTGCTCACCCACGCCATACACGCACACACACACGTACTGAACTCTCTCACACACGCACGCACAGCTCTGAACATCATGCCACGTATGTAGCGCCCCCCAGGCCGCCGCCAGCACGTGTGACGTCGCCGTGATGTCTCTATTACGACGGGCTGCAAGGGCCGCGCTATGCTGCCGGCGCCGCGCATCAGCGCTGCACAGCTTCCATCCTGCTGTTCCCACCTTACCGATAAAAAAAAAAAAAATAATCGAAAACCTGCTGGAATGAGAGGTATGAGGAGGACAACATGAGCTTTGCGACCGTCGAGCAGTTCATATCTTCCGACATGAGATTTTAATGCAAAAGGGGCTGCGATTTTGAAGTGTTGCGCCGTTATTCCGCTAAATACAAACATACATTTCACGTGCCTCTACGTACTACTTTCAATCGTAAACTCGCGAATATAAAAACTAAAGAAAGGAGCTCCTCCTCGTGTGATCGCGTGCGCGGATAGTGCTCGCTAAATGTTCTCGAACTGGGAATATTTTTTTTTAACCATTTAACTGTCGAGCTCATCGCGGCGAGCCCCACGCGCTGGAGCAGGAGGGACGTGGTGCGGGTTATTCGTCGAAACAACGCCGCGCGTGGCAGAAATAGTTTCGACGGGTGTGCCGCGTCGGGCGGGGCGGGGCGGGGGTGCTGCAGCGAGGCGTGGCACGTGGTTTACACGTGTATATACAAGCGTAGGCCCGGCCCCGCCCCGCCCGCCCCGCCAGCCGGCGCGAGCATATAGCCAGTAGTGTGTCACGTGTGCCGCAAGCCCTGCACTTACTCCACTGCGGTCCCATACAAGGCCATCATCATCATTACCCCGTTCAACGCTTGTGCTGATGCGCGTGTGCGAGTGTCGCCGATAGAGTCGAGAGAGCGAGGGGGGAGGAAGAGGGAGATAGAGAGAGAGAGAGTAGGGGGGGTCACCGTCACCAAACGCCGCCAAACGCCCCCCTGGCGAAACTGCGAACGTTGTTTTAAGCGTTTATCAGCCGTGTGCAACTGTACAAAGCCGTGCGCAGCCGTTCGAAGAGGTTTCTGAAAGCGTTTTGAAACAGCTGCAGCGCTCCCGTTTCTAAACACTTAAAAACGCTTGTTCGGG